TTTTTGATGTGATTACCAGTGCGGTGTACTGAGCTCAGGAATGGACAGGGTTATCCATTGTGACAATTTAAGAAATGTATAGGAAGTGATGGGCAGATATGAGACAAAAACAAAAGAAAAAAAAAACAGATTGGATGTAGATGATAGAGTAAACTTACCTTAGCTCTCTGCTAAGTAACAGGCTACCTGGAGATTTTGAGGTTTAACACAGTAGAGTTTAATTTCACATATTTCTGTGGTTGATAACCAAGACAGTTATTCTGATGATTTTACTTTTGATTACTTTTTCAACTTTGCTCATCTATGGCCTCACAGGGACTGATTAATCCAAGGTTGCCCCAGTCTCATGTCTGGAAATTGGTGTTAACTGTCTAGTGGGCAGCATGATCTCTTTGCGTCCTCTCAGCCTTCCAGGATGGTAGCAAGCTTGCTGTCAGAATCGGAGTCTCAGCATTTCAAAAGAAGTGAGAAAATCAGCTGAAAAGTCTCTTAATACCTTGAATCTACAATTGCAGCCACTGTTGTTACTAATCTGGACACCCTAAGGACAAGTCCAGTTCACAGACATGGGTTTCACATCTTGATGGGATGTGTATGTTACTGAAAAAAAAAAAAAAACACTGCTCCTACAGAAATACCTATTATCATCAGACCTTGTAGTAAGTTTCATCTGAATCGTTTGATTGTTACCTTGGCAATACTGCATAAGGGACGCTTAGTAATTATATTTACGTGAGTCAGCTCATTGGTTTGCATATGCTTATCTGGTGGCTTATGCAGAATTCCATAGCAAAAACCAAGGGCAAATTCAGTGACCAATTTTGGAGACATAAAGTAAAATAAAAAACAGAAAACAGCTGCTACTTCAGAAGTAAAAAAAAATACAAAGCAGCCTTTCTTTAGTCCTTGGTCTGTGTTCCTCTGCTACCATTTCACCACTAGATCCTTGACATTCAAAGGAAATTATGACAATCAGATGTCTAGGACTTTTAATTTAGATAAATGGGGAAATTTTCCTTACAGATTGGAAAAGGAGTACCTAGAGGTGACATTGCATATCCCTTTATTTCTTTATCGTTGTCATGTTGGGTTGTCTGAATGTTGTGCACAGAAGCTACTGTTAGTGTCCAGAAGTATAAACTAATTTTTGACAGCTTCACAGAAGTGGCAGCATAATTTACATGCCATAAAATTCACTCATTTTAAGTGTAAATTCAGACCATTTTAAATATATTATGGAGATGTGCAGCCATCTCCTCGGTGCCGATTTAGAACATTTCCATCGCACATTCCCACCATCAGGGCCACGCAACCGCTCATCTGTTTTCTGTCTTCCTTGGGTATTTCACATAAACAGAATCATGTCAGGAGCCTTTGGAATCTGGCTCCTTTCACTGAGCATGTTTTGGCAGTATATCTGTGTTGTCACATATCAGTTCTTAGCTTCTTTCTATTTATTTGGCTGGAGAGTAGTACTCTTCTGTCCATTTCTGCTACTTTAGTAAACCAGTTGAAACTGGGTGATTTATAAGAAACCAAGTTTTGCTTCTTAATCTGAAATGTGGGATGCTCAGGATGCCTGCGAGGACCTGTTCCCTGCTTCGGAAATGGCTGCTTCTTGCCATGTCCCTGCAGTGATGGAAGGCAGACAAGCAAGAAGGAGCTTGGCTAGTTATCGATCTTGAACCATTTTTTAAAATGCTTCTGTATTTTTCAACATTTCAGGAGGACTGAAGAGACTGGCTTCCACCTACTGGACCACATTCCCAATACATACAACACCTGGGAGTGGGTAGTGCTGAAGCCGACTCAGGAAGGCAGGTCAGGTCTCCTAGGTGGTGGGAACTCATCTACTACAGGGACAGTTGCTTTCCATCAGGGCCTGCATTGGAAGGAAGCTGGAGTCAGGAGCCAGAGGCGGGTGCAGAACCCAGGAACTCTGACACACAAGGTGGACATCTTAATTGACAGACCTGATGCCTGTCCCTTTCTGGCCCTCTGATAACATAGCTGTTGCTATTCATGAAGCTATATCCTCTGACTTAATCATCTCCCTGTGGCTTCGCTTCTGAGAAATGTTGCATTTGTGCATTTAGGTCTCAGTGTGAATTCAGGAGGGATACAAGCGTTCAGAGAATAGCATCTGTCTCTTACCTCAACAGAATCATGTCTTTGTCACATAAAGCCTTTGTTCCATTGCAACAGCCCTAATGTCTTGTTCCATCACCGATAGGAGCAAACAATATTAATTCCTTAAGTTTGAGAATAATTTTCTTTGATCTTCTGTCCTACTTCAGAGCTTTAAGCAGGGAGGGGTTGGCACCAAGGCCGTGGGAAGCCTCACCATACAGCAATGCCCAGAGAGCAGACATTATGGGTTTCACTCTGATGCCTCTAGTCCTCCCAGGCTGGCCTTGCACACTGATAACTCTCCTATTATAAAATGTCATATATGGCTTCACCCCAGTGTGTAGTCCCAGCTGCCAGCTATGCCATGGTGGGTATTCTGGGTGGAGTTCTCAATTCTGTGGCAGTTTTCTTCCTGGGACCCCAAGGCACCCTGTGACCTCCGAGTGGAAATAGCTGAAACCTAACTCAGCCCTGTGTGCTCACCATTAATGTTTACCGCCTGTGCCCCACCTAAAGTAGCGGCTGATGCTACCTCTGGGCCTGCTTGAGCTGTTCTGGTTCCTCTTTAGCCACACTGGGGTGGCTGAGGGTGCTTTGTGAGAATGCAGGGAGTAGAGCATTGAGGCAGCTCTAGGGAACAGATCTGAAATCCCTTGGAGCCCCTCTGCCGTAGAGTCTGTACTCTGGACCGGGGATGGCAGCCTTGATCCTCCATGAAAGTCATTCAGGATTGTCCTGCACTTGTTAAAATGGATGTCATCTGCTCGGCTCTGTATCAAAGGGGCAGTTGATCACACTCTAGATGTTGCTGTTGAACAGGATTTTTGTTGCACAAAGTCTTGCCAAGCCTCAAATTTTCCAAACTTTCAGGCTTTGGTTTGCTTGGTTCGTAAATTCTGTCATTAGCCTCTGTCTCTTTTCTCATCCTTTTTATAGTCGAGAGATGCCATGCAGCACCTGGGGTTTTATGTTTAGAGACTTATTCTGCCAAATAGTCTAGTTCATCACCCTTAAATTCTGCTTTCCAGTAAGTACTAGAACATGGACATAATTCTGCCAAGTTCTGCCTCTTTGTAACAAGGATGGCATTTCCTCTCTTTCCCAACAAAATATTTCTCGTTTTTTCCTAATAACTCATCAGAATGGCCTTTTCTATCCATATTTCTGCCAACATTCTGATGATGACTCTAAGTCATTAAGAAGGCTCTGGATCTCTGCTGATTTCTGAGTGCTTTCCAGAATTGTGATAACGTTCCATTGCAGGTCATCCGGGCTGCTCCGGGCATGTGCTCCTATTCTTTTCCAGCCTCCACTTAGTCCGCAAAGTCACTTCCCAGATGTGTGTCAGAGCAGTGCGAAGTCCTGCGTTAGCTTACCTCTCCTGCTGTTCACGACCCAGTAGGGTGTCTCCCTCAGCTGCAGAGACAGAACTCCAAGATTGAGGCAGCCTGAGTTCAGTCTCTGGGGAAAACCTTCCAAGATGACTTCTAATATACCCTCACGTGGCAGAAAGGGGATGTGCAAAACAGGGCCCACAGATTCCCCTGAGCCCTTATGTCATTTTGCTAATATCATTTGTGATTGATCATGTCCCACCTGATGACACTGTATTATTGGGATTTGAGTTGCAACATGAAGTTTGGGTGGAGCAGAGACATTTTGACCATAGCAGTTGTACACTGGTTTTTAGGTTACAACACTCCTTTCTCTCTCCAAAATATATGACATATTTCTGTATCTTTTTCTTTTAAGATTTTATTTTCTATTTTTATTGGAAAGGCAGATATATAAAAAGGAGAAGAGAGAGGAAGAATGGCCGGAGCTGCTCCAATCCAAAGGAGCTTCTTTTGAGTCTCCACACGGGTGCAGGGTCCCAAAGCTTTGGGCCGTCCTCACTGCTTTCCCAGGCCACAGGCAGGGAGCTGGACAGGAAGTGGGGCTGCTAGGATTAGAACTGGCACCCATATGGGATCTTAGGTGAGCAAGCCAAGGACTTTAGCTGCTAGGCTACTGCGCCAGGCTCTATTTCTGTATCTCACTCTTAACTCTGTTTTTGGTTTTTATTTTTTATCCTTCCATCAAACAGTGCTATCTCTAATTTCATTTTAATAATTCTGAATTAGGAACATTGTGTAATAGTTTGTATGTTGCTTTCTTACATGATGATGGTTCCCCGGTGAGAGTCCCTTGATGCATTAGTCCATTTCGTGCTGCTGTAACACATTGTCTGAGGCTGGAGAACACAAGGGGCACGCTGATTGGATTACGTTCGGGAGACTGCAATGGCCAAGGGCAAGGTCCCAGCATCTGTGCAAGGCCTTGTTACTATCATTCTCCATGAGGCAAGAAGGGCAAACGGAGAGAGCACAGAGGTGGCAGGGGGCAAACACACTCCTGCCAAACTGGTATTAGCTATTCTGACCTCAGTACTTCTTCCTGTTCCTACAACATTTAAATTGCAAACAGGTTTGCAGGGGCATCGTTCAAACTATAGCACATGAGAATTGTTAACTCAGGCCTCTTGCTACACATGGATACGTGTGAAGTATTTCTCCTTGTCCTTCTGATCTCTGTTTCCTTCTTATGAGTGTCCTGTCAGAAACGGAGCCTATGCCTTTCACCTGTCACTCCAGAATACTTTTGCTACCTTCCTTGGGATAGCGATCAGTAAAAATAAGATTATTTCTTCTTAATGCAGGGAAAACATTACCTTGAAAGTTACCCTGTCATGGGAAGAAATGTTTTAAAATGTTGAAGCACACTGTTTTAATTGTTTTATGGAAAGGGGCCTTGATGTTCAGTAGTACAATAATGAACAGCAGTTTGTTCACTTCAAAAGTTTTAACTTTGATGCATTTTCTCCTCTTCAGTATTTGTGGAATCCAGCATTTGGAACGAATCGGAAAGAAATTGAATCTTTTTGACTCACTGTATTTCTGCATCGTGACGTTTTCGACTGTGGGCTTTGGGGATGTCACTCCTGAAACGTGGTCCTCCAAGCTTTTTGTTGTTGCTATGATCTGTGTGGCTCTGGTGGTTCTCCCTATACAGGTAAACAATTACTTTCAGCTTTATAAACAGCAGGATAGTAACACGTGATGTCATTATAATTAGTCAATTCTTTGAATTACTTCAGATATACCTTTTCACATTTTATTGAAAACTTTTTTTTTTTCCTTTTTGGCACAACAATTACAGCTGATAGCTTGCATCTTGTTGCAGTTCTTCAAAATTATTTTCAATATAGGATACATTAGCATATATATGTATAAATATGTTTCTTCATCAGGTTGATCAAGAAACTAAATTGATGAAGGACTGATTTCTCTTAGTTCTTGAAAATAAATAAACAGCTTTGTGTATATATTGATTAACTGTGTTGGTAAACCTTGCAAAATTTGAACATAGTTATAAGTATTACATATGAAGAGAGTAAATATTGGAGTTTTAAAGACACAGAAATACAAAACATAAGTAAAAATAACTAGGTGCTTGGCATGTTTCCTCTGATGAGCCTGGATACCTATAGGTGGGCAGATCAGAAACGAAACTTGGTAAATGTGAATTAAACTTGCATTATCCATTACACAACTTTGGCTACCCTGCGGGGCTTTAAGAGGTGAAAGACGTGCATTCCCCTTTCCTATCCAATCACCTTTTACTTCCTTCCCGCCTCTCTTCCCTTGCTACCCTCATGACCCTTGGGAACCCACCACTGTTCAGCTGGAGTGTGACTGTGCATTGACAAGGGCAGACTTTGTAGAGAAATGTTCATGTGTCTTTCCTCTTTCGCTTGGTGCGTAACATACTGTGTCAACTGAACTGGACATGAAAAGCAGAGTCACAACATTTTTCATGGCCTGTTAGGATATGACAGCAACATCATGTGACTGTAGAAGCTTCTGCTGCCTCTGCAGAATCGTGGGTGATGTCTCTCCCTGGAGAGAAGGTGGAGACTTTGAATCTCTGTGAATCTCATCCAAAGTTGAGTGTGCTGACAAGCAGTAGATGAAGTGCATGGAGTCTTCATGTTTACATATGGCGTTGTTCATTTACATGTGGAAAATTCCTTACAGTTTGAACAGCTGGCCTACTTGTGGATGGAGAGGCAAAAGTCAGGTGGGAACTATAGCCGACATAGAGCTCAGACTGAAAAGCATGTTGTTCTGTGTGTCAGCTCACTGAAGATTGACTTACTTATGGACTTTTTAAATGAGTTCTATGCTCATCCAAGACTGCAGGTATGTTTGAATTGTATTATATACCCTCCTGGATTATACCTTCTAACATATTGTCACAGTCAGTTATCTGATGGTGCACCATGCATTCTGGAGGGTTTTTATTTTTATATTCATTTTTAGGAAGTAAATGAGCTACAAATATGATCAAAGACAAAGGAAAAAGTGTTGGAGGAATACACAGTATGTTGTTTCCTTCTGTGTCTACCTTAAAGGACAGATGGATCATATTAATGCTGCAATGAAAGATTTTCTTTGGATTAAAGAATTACTTCTTTCTCCTTTGAACAAAGCATAAGGGATATTTTTATAAAACAGTGTAAAATTTTAAGATAAAACATAATAAAACCACGAAGAAACATTTTAAAATCATCTGCTTACTTGTATCCCAGAAAATGTTAGTCGTCAAGTATCTCTAATGGGAATGTGAAATGCTGGAATTTCCATTTTTCTTTGTATCTTGCAGTCTAATAAGTTTCTATTTATAGTCTCAATAAATAACCAAAGAATTGGACAATAATTTGATAAGTTGAGGACATGAATTCTGAAAAATCTCTTAATTCCTCTAGACAAAAAACATCTTTGTCTGCTCTCTCTGCTTGTCATGGTTCTAGGACACTAGACAGTCTCCCTTATGGCTTGTTACATTTATAACAGTCTGCAGAACAAATCAGTTCTTGATTGTTTTATGTTTCATTGTGTGAAGAGATTGATTATTCCCAGAGATCAAGAGTACTTCTAATTACTGTTCCATTCCAACAATTGAACATGCTGGTTTGTGAAAATACTGGAGGTCTTTTAATTTTTGTTTTAGAAAGCTTGTTTATTACTAATACTTTAGTTATATAATGTATTATTTTCCTTGAGATTGATTTGTATTACTTCAAGCCAAACCTCATACTATTTGCTGGATCTTTTAAGATTCCATATAAAATAATTTCCAAATTGTTCATTGTAACCCATAGGGAAACCTGTTGATCCATCCAATGAAGTTTGTCTACCACCAATATAAAGAGCAGTTTTTATTTTACTTTTCACAATCTATTTTTTAAAGAAAGAGAGCTCCTCCATTTGCTGTTTACTTCCTCACATGCCCACAAACAGCCACACTTGGGTCAGGTTGATGTCAGGAGCCTGGGATTCAATTCCTGTGGCATGTCTGTGCAGCAGGGACCCAGGAGCGGGAGACACTTCCTGCTCCCTGTGAGGATATGATTTCCACAGGAGCTGGAGTCAGAAGCAGAACAGGACTCAGACCCAAACACAGGCATTCCAAGTGGAATGCTAATTATGCAAAATGCACAGCTCTGTTTTTATTAGTATGTGATACTTAAGCACCTTATTATGCTATTTTATAAAAATTCATGAGACATAAACTGACTTTATCAGGCCATTCACATCCCCACCTCCCCACTCTTCCATGCTCGGGGTCTACCGGGTCCTCTCCCCTTGTTCTTTGCACAGTATAGAATAGTGTGGTGTGAAATCACCTAGAGATGTTGTGTATCACTGGAACTGGTTGTATCTGTCAGTCTGTGTTTTGATCCCCTTTCTCCAATCTTAATCATTATCCACTAAATATTTCTTGTTAGAATAAGAAATATGAATATTAACCAAAGAATTTTAATTCCTGTAGATAAATTGCTTGTTTTAAATTGCTAAGCTTTTGTATTTTCTACAAGTAACATAAATTTTGAAAGAGTCTGATATGTGGTATTTTATTTAATAATGTACTCAATATTTCATGTTTAGAAATTCTCCTGCAAATATTTATCAGGAATCGCTGAAAATGATCAGTTCATAGAAACCAAGTGATATAAATCATGATCACAATTTTGATCCTAAACAATATATTATGAAATGTTTCTTAAACATTTCTACATGTTATGTTTAATTTCAGGATCATTATGGATCATTATGTGATTATAACTAACAGTACAGTCACTCATCGCATTTCCTTTTTGATATTGATATATTTGAGATAAATTTGGATGAATTTACAGATTAATGAGGTTTTCTATATAATGTAGTGTGATTTAATACAGTCAATCTTTAAACTTAAATTGTGTGCATTGGTGAAATTTTATGTCGACTTTATCATATTTCAGAATTTTCACAGATTTTTATTTTCCTGTGTAGTATAACTTAAGGATTACTATTTCTGTCTGATTGTTCTTTTTGTTTTACTAGGATTATTATGTTGTGATTTTGTGTCCTACTGAAATGGATGTGCAAGTTCGAAGAGTACTGCAGATTCCAATGTGGTCCCAAAGAGTCATTTACCTTCAAGGTTCAGCCCTGAAAGACCAGGACCTACTGAGGGCAAAGTAGGTATCCTTTCCAGTTGTGCATCGCTTTGCTTACCATCAGTGCTTTTATTTCTGTTCTACACTCTGCCCCTTGGCAGCCTGCGAACTGATATGTATATAGAATTTGCCTTAGCCTTATGCCAGTCAAATTGAAGTTCCAAACTATAAAAACTGCATGTTCGCTCCTCTGTTGTAACCTTGTCTCAGCACAGGGATTTAGCAGACATTGCTCGGATAAGCACAGTGAGAAGGGCGTGCTGGTCTAATTACCTTAAGCTGTCAGGGATGGGCTGGGGTGTCCAACTCGCTGTGAAACCTCAAATCTCTCATTTCTGTTTTCTTTCCATGAACAAAATCTTGGGTTAAATCTAAGATATCAACACAATGACTCAGAACTTTGAGAAGCTTGCGGAAATCCCGAGCAGGAAGCACCCATTGCTTCCAGTGAGAAGCCAGAGGCGCTAGAGGCTGCGGGATACAGGAAGCTTACAGCTGTACTTACACACTTTCCTTCTGAGCCTGCACTGGCCATGATGGCCTGAAGGGGGCGTACTCATAGGCATTGCTGGCAAGTCTTGTGGCAGGTGTTGAGTGAAGGGTGGGCAGATGGTTGCAATCAGCATAATCAGTCTGGGGAACCAGGAGAGATCCTTGGCAGGCATCATTTGAGGTTGAAAACCTGACTTGATATTTTTCCTGAATTGTCCTACATACTCTTTCAGATTTAAGTTTCTCCTCACTGACTTTTACAGCATTAAGTGTTTGAATTTTTTGAATGGTTGGTGTATACTTTTGGGTGTATGATAGTGTGTGTGTATTAAAGAGTGTGGACATTTGTGTTTGCCTCAGTGTGTGTGTGGGGGGGGGGGCTGTGAGAGAGTATGGGTTTATGTGAGGCAAGAATAATGCCTGTGCAGACATTAATATGAACTTATGTGGTAAGCACAGTTAAATGAGTTTGAGTTATCAGTATTATGCTAATAGTATCTAAGTTAGATACTATTTAGGACTAAGTTGATTGATTTATTGTTAATAGTACTGAAATGAGGTCTCAGCAAAAGCAATTGTATGTTCAAGAAGCATTTCTTTGTAGGGATAAAGTAGGAGAGAGGTAGCAAGCTGGTACTGTCACAAGACTGAGCCAAGAAAGAAGTTGGAATGGCCAAACATTCATTTTTATATTAATTCTTAATCCAAACTTCATGTAAAAGCTTTGAGATTTAATGCTAAGAATGATGTTTTCCAAACACTTCTCAGTGTTAGGAACAAGGAGTAGGATTCTGCAAACCAATCTCAAAGGTCAGTTGTATAAGATTTGAATTGATTTGTTGAAAATAAGGTTTAGAAAATCTTATCCAATACTCCTATTATCTTAGTACTGTGGCTCAACATTCCTTCAGAACTGTTTGATTTGGTCTGATTTCATGCACTTTTATCTTTTCTCTTGATGGAAAATATTATGTTTGGAAAGGTTTATTATTTCGTGGTGTTCCAGACAGATAAATCATTCATGATTTTGAAAACAAACATTCTTGTGTTCCTAAAACATTATTTGTCAAGTTCCAAAACATACTGTTTTATTACTAAATTTAAGAAGTACAGAGTCTTAGCATGAGAAGCAGAGGTCTGTAACAATATGATGAATCAGCTCCAGTAAATACAAATAAACAGTAAAGCTTGACTCCTGCACATTGAGCAGCTCTGCTGCCTCTCCTTTGGTTTAATTGCAACATTGCAGCTAAAATATAATTCGTGGTGAAATAAAGACCTTTGTCATCCCCTGAATGTATTCAAAAATATATACATATATGAAATATATAAAATCATACAAAGCAACTCTTTTTTCTACTGTCATAAGCTGATGAATTATAGTGGAAACCCAGCAATGAACATTTGCTGCAATGAATGGAGTTGTTATCTGTTGTACGTGTACTATACCAAAGCATTGCCGTTTGTGTTTTGCACAACAGGAAGATCCTTCATTGTGTGACTCTTGCTTTTCTGTCTGCTTAGGATGGATGATGCTGAGGCCTGTTTTATTTTGAGTAGCCGTTGTGAAGTGGACAGGACATCATCTGTAAGTTTCCAGAAATATGCTTTAGGAAGTGGTTGTTACCACTTTAGAAAATTGCTGTTAATTTGACATTTTGCAAACTCTTTGAACAATAAATATTAGTCATCTTCAAACTCTACTGAGGGAATCAACTACTTGTTATCTTGACCCTAAATAGCATAATGATAGTTGCATAGTTGATTGTGTCAACAAAAGTTCTCTTGAAGGAAGTGTCTACTACCCTCTAGTTTTTTGTTAATCAAAATGAAAGAAGTCATGTATAAACTGAACCTGCACTTTTTTTAGTGAAAGTATGTCCTGGGATATATAATTTTGCTAAAATGGCCTCAAAAATTCCTCAACTCTAAAGCAAAGCAGATGAATCAGGCAATTTGCATAAGAATCAATTGGAGAGTTTCTTATAAATATGCATTTATGAAAACTGTGTCCAGAGTATCTGGGGTAGAGACTGGGAATATGTATATTTTTTTTTAAAAGGTGATTTTGAAACACAGATTTGTATGTTTTGGCTTACAGGATCTTTATAATGAGTTTCTTAGGAGTAAAGTTTCATAAACTTTTCAGTACTTAAAAAGTAAAGTGATCATAAAGTGATCACACCATGTCTTCTATTTTTAAAAATGTTTTAATTTTTAGATTTAAAAATGCTTCATATTTTACATGGAGTAAATAGTGTTATTTTCTCAGCCATTGATTCCATGTCTAACATTTGTGTGATCAGGCACAATGGAGAGCACTTGGTTGCATCTGCAACGAGTGGGCAAGATGAGCATGGGCTGTGGGCACCTGATTTGTCTATTTGTGGAGCATTGCAAAGTTTATCCTCTGTTCTACTTCCTAAGTTTTAGCTAAGTCTTGACTGCAACAGACTGTGTGCTCTACACTTTACCTTACCTGAACTTCTTAATTCTTGACAAAGATAAATAAAGCAACTTCCTTCATTTGAAAAGGGATGCTATGAGTTAAATGTTATCTCCAGAAAACGCATGTGGAAGTCCTCACCCCTGAGACTACAGAATGTGAAAGTATTTCCAAATGTGGTTTTGTCAGAGGTAATCAAGTGACAGTAAGGCCATTAGGGTGACCCATGTCCAACTGACCTATGTCTTTATTAAAAAGAACATCTAAAGGCAGACACGATGCGGACACAAGATAAATGGAAAGGTAGCCACAGGCAAGCCAAAGAGGCAGGCGTGGAGCACGCTGTCACTTCCGGCTCTCAGCAGCCCCCATGCCGCTCAGGCTGCTTGAGCCATCCAGTTAGTAGTGCTTGGCTAATGCAGCCCTAAGAAGCTAAGAATGGAGCACAGACCAAACACACGATGGGGAAATTCATAAATACTTCTTTTAACATTTTTAAATATGTATTCTCCTTTCCTTTTCCACCAATGTTACCTTCATCCAGACCCAATCCTGCTCAGCTGACCTGAGCACTGTGTCGATTATTTCTTAACTGATTGGGATTGGTAGGTGCTCCAAAACAAATTTGTTGAAGAAATAATTGTAAATGAGCCCGAGTGTATTACCAAGTCTGTTTGCCTCAGGTAGTTGTGGATGTTATGTCTCACCATGAGTACTAACTTCATTTCAGAACCCTTGCAGGCTTCAGGATCTGTGGTACCTTTTTTTAAAAAGGGAAGTACTAGCATGAAAAAAGAAGTGTGTAATGCCTTCTAGAGTACCCTTCATGTTCTTCATTGGAGAGTTCTGTTTTCTTCTGATACTTTACTTAATTGACAGGAAATGAATAAAAAACTTGCTAGAATAATGATTATGGTAGGTGGGACGGCTCCAACAAAATTATGGAAACCAGAAGCAGATGGATGAGTGGCAACCAACGTAGAAGCCAGAAGGAAGCTAAAATTTAAGAGGAGAGATGAGACAAGTCAGCAGCTGGCTGCTTCTCACAACGGAACCGCACAAGCCTCAGGAAATAGAGACAGCAGATGTCTGGGACAGTAAGGTTATGAGCAGGACTAAATATATGAACAATGGTTCATATTCTGGAAGGTAACAAGGCTCCCTGAGTCCCTCCAACTATTTATTGTTAACTGCTTTCTCAATCTTTGGCAGCATAAGTTTTGTTATTTGGAGAATTTGAGCCAGGGATATCTCCTTTCATAGACATTCCATATGAGGACCCAGGTACCAAACTGATATTAAGGGACTTAAAAGCATGTTGCTAAGATTCTTAGAACTCTTGGGAACTCACCTTGTGAGAGTCAAGAGTCCTAAGAATCTTAGCTACCAGGCCCATGGCTTTAAAAATACCAGTGTGGAGCCATTGTTTCTGGGAAAAATGTTTATCACAAGAAAAAAATAATGTGTATGCATGTGTGTGTGTGCGTGCATTGAGGATACAGTATCCCAGGCTGAGCCTCCTACAGTAAACGTCCCAGAAGCTAGTTCCTGGTGTTTGCATAGGTCTACATAGGCTATGGAGAACTTCACTCCCCCAGATGTTCTAGTTAACAGATGTCACTAGACTTCTGAGGAAATCAATAACAAGGAAGAGTGAATGAGCAGCCAGATAATAAGCATACAGGAGAAAAAAAAAAACACACACAGGAAACAGAGCCATACAATTCTGGAAGAAGAATAGATTTCAAAAATTCATATATTTAGTAATAACCCTTGCAACAACACAAGGTGACACATAAAGAAAATAAGAACAGCAGAATATAAAATGTTTAGTTAACAAAATGAAACAAAGCAAAAAAAAAAAAAAACTAAGAAACATGACATTATCTCTCAAGAGCTCCTGAAAATTAAATACAGGATAACAAATGAAAATTGAATGAATGGCCTGGAAGATAAGCCTAAAGAGTGGAAGAATTCAGAATAATAAAATGTATAATAACCTAAATAATGGAAATATTTAAAAAGTAAGAAAATTAGAGGAGTAGTCAGGAGAAACAGTGTCTCAACAGGAATTTAAGAAAGGAGACCTAGAAAAGAGAGGAGAACATTACTAGAAATGAAATCTAATCTGATTTCTCAGACCAAATGTAAAGTTGAGAGATAACTAGAAAACATGAAAATTGTTTAGCATGGAGGAAATGAAAGAAAAAAAAAAGCAAGAAGATGACAATGGAAAAAATAAATCGTAGAAGAAAATGCAGAAAACTTTCAGAACTTAAACTGGAGAATCAGAATGTCTGCCCAAAGTGAAAAGATGCAGGCAATGGGCACAGCACTTGAAAAGTACGTGCATGCCTATCCCACCATTGTTGAGAGCGTAGACTAGTACAGCCACTACGGCAGCCAATATGTCGAGTGCTCAAGCAGCTGACAGCTGATGTACCAAATGACCCAGCTATCCTGCTTCTGGGGATATTTCCAAAGGAAGTGAGATTTTTGTATGAGAAAGCAACGTGCAATCCTATATTGATAACAATTACACAATTGCACAATTACAAAGATAAGGGAAAAAACACAGATGTTCATTGAAGGAGGAATGGATAAAGAAACTGTGGTATACCTACTCCATGGGATACAACACAGCCATAAAAAGAATGAAATTCTACCATCTGGAGGTAAATGGTCCCGGCATCAGGCCATTATACTCAGTGAAGTAAGTCAGCCCAAAACGGACCATTACAATATGTTTTCTCTGACATGAGACAACCTTCATGCAAAATGTGAAATATAAATAGATACATAGGTAAATAAGTGTGTGTGTATATGTGTGTATATATATATATAAAATAATTGATCTCCATAATGGAGACTAGCAAACTGGGAAGTGAGGATACATTACAATGTGCATCTCTACTCCTAAATATAAGTGAGACTCCCAGTGAAATTTAAATATATCTTGACAGTATGGTCCCAGAGTCTCTACTTTTGCGTGTACCTACCACATCATGATACACATAAATAGTAGAATGTTGGATTTGTGACTGTTGCTGCAGGACTTTAGCTACTATAATAATATGGGGAGAGATGACAGGAAGGGCACAATAAGGGGGAAGAAAGGGAGGGGGAGAGAGGAATCCCGTACCTACAAAACGCTATCATGGAAAATAATAATAATCATCACAAAAGTAATGGATGCCTCCAGTTACACTTTGTTGTTCTGTTGGAATGCTAGTTATATAGAAGACAGAAAGTAAGTTATCTGTAGGCATGAAAGATTTGCAAGAGTGCACAGCCCTGAGACAGACCAAGGAGTGAACGAAGAAAGATGCTGTAGGGCATCTAGAGTGGAGGATGGAATAGTAATCTGCTGGTTCTGGTGAAAACGCCCTATCCCGGGACAAGAGTAATGGCTTAGTGGTAAATCCTCTCCTTGTGGGGGCTGGGATCCCATATGGGCACCAGTTTGTGTCCCAGCTGCTCCACTTCTCATCCAGCTCCCTGCATATGGCCTGAAAAAGCATCAGGGAATGGCCCAAAGCCTTGGGACCTTATGCCCATGTCAGAGACCCAGAAGAAACTCCTGGCTCGTGGCTTTAGATCAGGTCATCTCCAGCTATTGCAGCCACTTGCAGAGTGAGCCATCAGATGGAAGATCTTTTTTTCTCTCGCTCTCTCTGTAAGTCTTTCTTTCCAATAAAAATAAGTAAATATTAAAACAAAAACAAAGCAAAAACTAGGTTCTATCCCAAAGTAGAAGAGCAGGCTGAGCGTGAGCACATGGCAGCTGGGGACTGAGAAATTCAACAGGGCTGTCCATGGAGGGAAACAAGAAATGGCTGGAAGTGGCTGGTAAGTCTGAGGACATTCTCTTCTAGGAAGATGTTTTGTACTGAGTTTTCTTAGCTGAACGTGCATGTTGAAACCCTAACTTCCCAGTCCTTTAGAATGTGATAGGATTTGGAGAGGCGCCTTTAAATGGTTAAAAACAAGGCTATCAGGTTGTGTTTGTAAGAAAACAGTACCTGTGCTTAAGGAGAGACTGAGGCTGCATGTGGAGGTGTGTGTGGATAGGGCAGTATTCTACAAGGCAATGCCAGAGCTCTCAGATGAAACCAACTCTGCCAGAGTGGTGGGCAAATACG